ATATAGGAGAAATATCGGGGAAATAATAATTTTGGATTATATAAAAACGTTTTAAAACAAGATGCGTATAGATAATTTTGTTATAAAAAGTTTACATAGAAGGTATGCGATTATTATTATTATATTCTATATTCTTTTTTAGTTAAATTTACCAAAGTGGCGAATTTACCATCTTCTCTTCACGATTATTCCTGACTATTTCCTAATGCTAATCGACACCTTCCTTTTGAATCACGTTGTTGACCAGAAGGACATCGAAATTGCGGCATTGTTATAATATTGAACGGTTCCACTGTTACTGATTCTTTAGCGACAGTCGACTCGGTTTGCTTTTTGTCCAGTGATGACGAGAACACGATGGTCAACGTCATCATCGCGATTGTTAATAGCACGATCAAAAATTTCATTTTCAATATTCACTATAGAATACTAATTTCGAGCAGCGCGTACGACGTCTTATCTTTGTTGAAGGCAGGGACGGTTTAAGATGCTTTTTCGTTACTCTCGGTTGTCAATAATGATACTGCGCAGCGAATAACTAGTTTTTTATTGAGAATTCTCTGAATCTCCGATAAAATTATCACGATGGTTTTCATCGGAAATTATATCGTATATGTGCGATGTCAAAGGTGAAGCGAATTGATAAGAATTCATCACATAAACATAACTTGAATTTCAAAGAGATAATTACACTTTAGTTTTAATATATATACTTATAAATAAAATTAATTAGAAAATCTCACTATAATCAATTTTATAATTTATAACACAAATAAAGTCACAACTACAATTTCTACTTCAACACATTAAAACACATTTTTCGGAGAATAGCTAATAGCAATCGGAGTTGTTTAACATGTTTTGCTTAAGGTTATTGGAATGATTTTAAGTATCATTTTGCATTTCAAATGATGTTCGTATAAAATCCTATAAATATGCATATGAGAATGGCTTGCAGAAAATATCGTGTTTGCAAGATTACGTGAATATCGATATAATGCCGAAATAATGTGTGTATATAGAGAGAGAAAGAGAGAGAGAGAGAGAGAGAGAGAGAGAGAGAAAGAGAAAGAAAGTAAAAAAGAGAAAAGAGAGAAAAGGTTTAGAATTCTATAAAAATTATTTTTGGTACGACATATAAAAATTTGAAAATGTAAAGAGCGTTAAAAGGTTTCAAATGTTTATTACTACTCAAATATTGCCAAAGCTTGTCGGAAAAAAACTATATTCATATTTTATAAAGTCACTTTTATAGAAGGTTAATTTTTAGCAAAAAAAAAACTATTGAGCGAAGAAGAATTGGCTTTTATGACGAAATAAAATTTGGCTTTTAGGCCGACAAATATTTGACTTTTGCCACGAATAAAGTTTCGTTTTTAGTAACAAAGCTGGGTATAGCTTTTAAAGCAAGCTCGATCTAGCTTTTAAACACGAAAAAAATTTGACTAGCAAGAAAAACTCACTTTTTGAAAGTAAACAATGTTTAGCTTTTAGTATGGAATTGAATTTGCAGAGCAAATGCAATTAGTCTTTAAAAAAAAGATACATTGTCTAGGGGTAAAAAAATTTAGTTTTTATGAGGGATAATTTGATTTTTTCGGATAGTCTCTTATTTGTGCATTTATCGAAAATAGAATTATGCTTATAATCATAAATAAAAATATTTGTTTAATGAAACTGATAATTGTTTAAGTGTGTGTAGCACAACCAATCTATTAGCATACGTTAGTAAGAATTTATTAAATTGCGAGACATGCAAAAGCCATTTGCGTGAGTCACGCGGATTGTAAATGAAACGCTAAAAATTGCGAAAAAAAACAAACTCACAGCGCGAAATGTTAATCAATACAATATGGGCCTCCATTGTCCGTTCCTATCCTGGCGATATCTTATTCCGTCTCGCACGATCTGGCTGGACCGTTCCGGCACGGTGATGATGTTCCTCTTGTTCCGACTTTTAATTTCGCTTCTATCTTCCGTGACAACAGGCGTCTCCGCCGACAAAATGGCGCCGACCTTCTGCGTCTTATCCGGCGCGATTTCTTCCACTTCTTCACTGTCAGTCGTCGGCGTTCTTTCAGCCATTGTAGCGCTTCCTCGATTGTCGGATCCTTAAACGGTTTTCGATAATCCTATTTTTCCCTCTAATCTGCCGTCAGATCTTCGATGGATCCCTGTCTTTTCGATCAGCCTTCCAGCTACAGCCGTTACTTCTGAATATTAAATAATCTTTTTGAATTCTAAATGAGAATTTTAAATCACAATTATCGTTCAGAAATCTTATGATATTGTCAAACTTTAAATGACATTATAAAATATTAGATATTTTAAAAGTTTAAACGAACTAATCATCTAAAAATTTTTAAATTATGTGTTTAATTTTGATAGATAGTATTTGCATAAATTTTAGATGATTTTCAGTGATCCTACAAAATTTACAAATAACCATTTTTATAATTTTCTAAAAATTTAAGTAACATTTTCAAGATTTTAATATATTTTTCTAAACTTTTCATTACATGTACTATTTTAAGCAGTATTTTTAAATTCTAAATATTAATTCTCTGGATAAATGTCATCATGTTCTCGTTTAAACTTTTATAAAAGCAATTTATTTCATTATCACTTAATAATGACATAATGATTTCGAAATGCCTCTTGCCATATTATCGATTCGATAATCCTTATTAACCTGGTGCTTTCATCTCTCACGTTTTATCTCAATTTGATATAAATAAAATAAGTAATATTTATAATAATGCAACGAATTCTTAAAAAAAAATTATTGATATAGAAGACAATAGAAATCAGAAACGCTGTTGTTGGAGAGTGCACACACAAACTAATTATTAGAAATTAATATAGAAAAAATATATTTCGGTAACAATTTCGAGCTTTCTTTAGTTTAATAGAATATGAAGAAGAAGAAAGTATTTAGATTTAGATGGAAAATATTGAAAATTATATAAAAATGATTAAAAAATTAAGAAAATTAACAATAATTAGCAAAAAACAGACTCACCAATGACACGCATAGACACCGTCCAGTATAACACATCTAATGTAAGCACAGTTAAATAATATTTATCTTATTATCAGTTATGTTATATTGTTATTGTACGTTATCTCTAATTCACAAGTTTTCTATTTTATTTATTTTAATTTTCTCAATTTATCACTTAGTATATTGTTATAATTTAACTTTTTGATTTGAAAATATTTAATATTGCAGAAAAATGTATCATATTTTTTTATCGGTTAGAATAAATATAACATATATTTCTATATTTTAACTCAAGTAATTCTGTAAGATAATTAGACAAGAGAAAATTAATATTTTATATTTACCAGAAATTAATTTAAGAAAACAATACGTTTAATCTCTTGAAAAATTGTGTCGACGTCCGCAGAGCTACAGCACATTGTAATACCGACTCTCTTATCTTGACACTGACCATGTCCTATCTGACACGATTTAACCCGTGTTTCGCACATCATACTGTTGACTCTTTTCGTCATCTGTTCGGCTTTATCGTTATCGTTATCTTCATTATCAATTGGTAAACGTTAAATCTTATCGAGAAGGGTTAGATTTTTGTGGCATTTTGCTTGAGGCAGATTCCGGATGGATTAGAAACGTTCGAGCGTGGCTTTCCAGTTTCGACGAAGTACTTTTGAAGACTATTGCGGGACGAAAGGCAAACGTTCCTACTGTCATCCTTGAAAGTAAATTCGAGCTGCAAATGTGGCTAGTAAGAATGGAATGCAGTTGCAGTGGATTACGGTTAGACTTTCGATATTGCAGCTGCCGCGGAGAAAACGTGGCAGGCAAATAGAGAAGGACACACGATCGATTATTAGAAATTCCCCACTTTAATCTTCTAGTGGCAAGTGGCAAAATCTCACGAGTTTCCATTCGCGAAGTGTACGAAGCTCTCTACGTCCGCGAGCTTGGTTACGGAACGATTAAATCGAATGGTTAAATGCAACGCGCGCGCGATTGTACTACCCCACTTTTTCGAGAAAATAAATCTAAATTAATTCTTTATCACTTATCTTAAAATTAATCTTATCTTAAAATTAATTTTTTCAAGTTTGTTAATGGAATTACGGATTATTGTAAGAATTACGGATTATTGATTAGATTAAATTCTTTGATTGATAAGTCACATTGTTAATTCTTAGATTATTTAGAGCGTGGCAATTATAAGATAAAGAAAAGAAATCTGTAGAATTTGTATAATATATAATATATGTTTGTGAATATACTTTTATTTGAATGTGAATTAAAAAAAATTGTTTCTAGAAATATAAAGAAGTACTGAGAAAACTCTTGAAAATATTCTCGACGCGATTCATAAGACTTCTCATGAATTAGTAATAAACTCGCCAACCCCTCGGCTACCAACCTCGTATCCTCCATAACTTGTAAAACAGAATTTTCACAATTGCGACTCAGTAAAAAAAGTAATTAGCAACAATTAAAAAAGTAAAAATAAATAATTGCATTCTTATTAAAATTTAATATAGGAGTTCAGTTATTAAAAACTATCAAATAATTAAATAACAATATAAAATAAATTAAATTTACGAATGATTTAAAAGACAACAACAAAAAAGCGTAGTAGAAAAACGTTCTTTATATAATAACTTATATAATAGTTCATAGTTCATTCATAATTCATTCTTGCGCTCCGACACTATCGCGCTTGTTATTGCCTTCTATATTATTATTTGAAGAACTACATTTTACAAAATTAAACTTTATCAAAATCGATAAACTTGCTTTTATGATTCTAATGTTTTCCTGCCATTCTCTTCACTCCTGCTACTCGTAGAGAGCAATAAATCCACTGTGAAAATTATTGGCTTGAGCTATTTAACAGAACGCGAATAAAATTTTCATAAAAATACCGGATATTATTCTTTGTCTATTTCCACGTCTTAAAATAATAACAAAAATTTCTGAAGAGAACGTTATGTGCATGCACACATACATTCTCTCTCCCTCTCTTTTTGCGTACTTTTATAATCATAAAGCAAATAAAAATAATACATATTTGTATTATAATGTATACATTAATTAGAAATAATAATTAAATAACTGGTTAGCTAGTTATGTATAAATAAATATTAAGAGACATTGATGTAAATAACTACCTAAATTAATAGGACAATATTTGAATATTGTTATGAAACAGTGAATCCGCTCGATTTGTGCCGTCAATCTGTCATCATGTTATGTCTACAAGTTCTCCCGATAGAACGCATGCTTAATGTGGATACAATTGATCCGTTGCAATATACTAATCAAATTTGCTTGCGGGAAGAGTAAAACAAATGTCGATTATTATAAATTTTATTTTATTATAAATTTAATCTTCTGACATCAAAGTGAAATTTTACTTTTGATTAAATGACTTGGTGTTATTTGCACGAAGAATGATATCTCACGGTATTAGAGAATTTAAATAAGACTTAAAATATTGCGCAAAATATGATGCAACGCAGTTCTCTGAGAG